AGTTCATTTGTCATATTTGCATTGAAAAGGTAGAAAGGTCAGAACGAGGAAGACTTCATTGACTTCCTCATTTTGGGACCCCTCCCCATGAAAGGGACACCCACCCATTTCAAGAGATAAACTATGCATACCTAAATAGCTTTTGGAGTAATTAGCATATGAAGCGGGGAATGGGATGTACCAAAATGATGAATATGTATTTGTATTTTGGGTATTCAACACTTGGATGGATAAAAGGGCTCTGTAATCACCTGAGAGGTGTGGTGTGGATTTGGGAGCTATCCCACACACAATAAACACACACTTTTTAATTTTAACTGTTAGAGAGTTTTTGTCCCTCACAGTTGGATATCGGTACTAGATCAATATCCATATTTTTTTAATAAATCACTTTCTAACTTTAAACTGTTAGAGAGTTTTTGTCCGTCACAGTTGGATATTGGTACCAGATCAATATCCGTATTTTTTTAATAAATCACTGTCCCCTTGCAGGGATCTGTGCAGCTGCAGGGAGCCAGGGGAGGATGCTCTGGCATGGAAGCAGACTGGAGGATGTCACCCCAGCAAATTCAGCTCTCCCCCAGCCTCAAAAGCAGAGGAATGTGAAAAAAAATCAACCCAGGAGCTGCAGGAGAATCCAGCCCAGGTTAATGTTAATACAGAAACACCAGCTGCTGGGGGACAGAGGTTGGCAGGAGGCTCCAGGCTGGCAGGAATCAGCAAAAATCCCTCGACTTCCCAGTCCAAATTCCCATGTACAGATAAGGAGCTTAGAGCCTGATGCTGCCAAATCCCTCCCACAGGAATTCCCTGCTCCCCCCTTTGCTCACACAGGCCCTGGCACAGCTTCCCAAAGATGCTGTGGCTGCCCCATCCCTGGAAGTGTCCAAGGCTGGGAGCTGTCTGGGATAGTGGAATGGGATGAGCTTTAAGGTCCCTTCCCATCCAAACCGTCCCAAAGACACCTCCTGCCTCCAAGAGAAAGCTTGGAGAGACCAGTGAGAGCAGGGCTGAGTTAATATTAAAAAAACCCAAAATGAAAAAAAAAACTCCGAAACAAAACAAAAAAAAAAAAAAAAAAAACCAAAAAACCAACCAACCAACCAACCAACCAAACAAACAAACAAACAAAAAAAAAACACAAACAAAAAAAACCCCAAAAAGCAAAGAACCTTTTGAAAGGTCAATTTGGGAAAGGGAAGGAAAATCCCACATGTAGAAGCAGAGCACCAAATCACCACAGAGAGAACCTCGGCTGAGGAGGAAGAAAGGAAACCCAGGGAGAAGTGAAGGAAATCTCAGTTCAGCAGCACCAAGAGCGATGCCCACAGAGGCCAAAAACCAAAAGGGGAAATGCCCTCCCTGGCAGCTGCAGCCTGTCCCCTCAGTGTCACACAAGTGTGGGAGGACATTCCCGTGCCCCAGCTCCGAGCAGCACCTGGAGGAAGCTCCCAGGGCAGGGAAAGCTTTTCCTGGTGGCCCAGGAGGCTCAGCAAGGACAGGTCCTGCTGGGCTGAGCTCCTGTCCCAGGTCTGGAGCAGGCCAGGCAGGCAGCAAGGGGTTATTTATGGTCAAAAATACCTCTGGAAGCCTTGAGAGCTGTCATTAACCTCAGGGAGATGTGTGTGTGTGTCAAGGGCTGCTGAGATTTAATTAGCACTTGCCTTTTCTCCTTCTGGAGAATGGTTTTGGATGTGGAGGAGGAGGTGGCTGGGCTGTGGCTTGGGCCAGCAGGAGCTCCTGAGCCCAGGCAGGCGTGGCAGGGTTCAGGCTCAGCTCTCCCAGGGGTTGGGAGCACGTTCATCCAGCCTGGAATGGCAGCAGGGCTGAACCCCAGCCCGGGGAGGGTTGGAAAGGACCTAAAATCCCATCCTGTCCCAGCCCTGCCCCTGCCCCATGAGCTCCAAGCCCTGTCCCACCCGGCCTTGGGCACCTCCAGGGGGTGGAAGGAGATGAGCTCGGAGGTCTCCTCCATCCCAAACCCTGCTGTGATCCATGGGCAGCACCCCCAGGAGCTGTGCTGGGAATCCCAGAGCTCCCAGTCTCACCTGGGCTCTGGGAAGGGCAGCACAAACCCATCCCTGCATTTCCCTGTCCCCAAAAACTCCTGGGAAGGGCAGCACAAACCCACCCCTGAACTCCCCTGTCCCCAAAAAGCTCCTGGGAAGGGCAGCACAAACCCATCCCTGCATTTCCTGACCCCAAAAACCTCCTGGGAAGGGCAGCACAAACCCATCCCTGCATTTCCTGACCCC